AAGATGTGGAACAACCCAAATCCTCATGCAGGGTGGATGGGAATGTAAAATGAGGCAACCACTTTTTAAAACAGTTCAGTAGTTCTTTAGAAGGGTAAACATAGACCTACCATAGGAATTAGCAATTCCACTGCTAGGTATTTACCCAAGAGAAATGAATGCATATTCCAATACAAAGACAAACCCTAAGTGACCCACAGTCCATAACAGGTGACCAGATAATCACATTTGTGTATTCATACAATAGACAACAGTGCGCCCAGCAGTAGATATCCTATTATATAGCCAGCAGTAGATAGGGATGCACTCTCCATGCATGTAGTGTAATAACTTGCACAAAACCCAAAATAATTATGCAGAGAAAAAGAAGCCCCCCCATCCAGCCTGCACCAAAGCACTACCTACTGCGTAATTCCACTTGTATAAAGTTCTACAAAAAAGGAAACTATTCTTTGGTGACAAGAAGTAGTTAAATGGCAGCATGGGGAGTTGGAGGGAAGGGCTAGAGGAAGTGGTTTTTTGTTTTGTTTTGTTTTGTTTTGTTTTGTTTTTGAGACAGGGTCTCGCTGTGTAGTCCAGGCTGGCCTTGAACCCACTATATAGCCCACACTGGCAATCCTCCTGCCTTAGCCTCCTCTGTGCTGGGATTACAGGCATGCACCACCAGCCTCAGCCAGAGAAAGCTTTCAAGGATGATGGATATGTTGTTTATGTTGACTGCAATGATGGTTTCATGGGTGTACATATATATATATACCAAATATTATGCACTTTAAATATGTACAGTTTATTATATGTCATTTATATCTCAGCAAACCCATTTTTACAACTCAAAAAGTTTGCAAGAGCAAGTTTACAAACATTCTGAGAAAAGAACTAAGTGAGAGAATGTAAAGTTATAGGAGGCAGCTAGGTGTAGTGGCATGTACCTGTAACCTCAGCAATTGGGAGGCTGAGGCAGGAGGTTCAATTTGAGTTCAAGGCCAGTCTGGGCTACATAGTGAGTTCAAGGCCAGCCTGAACTATATAGAAAGACCCTGTCTAAAATGAAAAAAAAAATTATGGAGAATAGTGAGAATTGTGGAGGACTCACTCTTTGTCCCTGATGGTTTTTTTTGTTTTTGTTTTTGTTGTTTTTTTTGGTACTGGAAATCAAACTCAGGACCTTGAGCCTGTCAAACAGGTGCTGTGCCATTGAGCTACATCCTTGGCCCATTCCTGGTGTTCTGAAATCTCACTGTGATATATTTATTTATTTATTTTGGTGCTGGGAATTGAATGCAGGATCTCGAGCTTGCCAGGCAGGCACTGTGCTGCTGAGCTACCTCCCCAGCCCTCACTGTGATATATTCAGTTATTTATGCTTTTTCAATTTTCTTTTTCATTATTCAGTGAACCTTTTTTTTTGTCTTTTTGAGACAGGGTCTCGCTATGTAGTTCAGGCTGGCCTTGAGCTCACTTTGTAGCCCAGGCTGGTCTTGAACTTGCAAGGGATCCTCCTGCCTCAGCCTCCTGAGTGCTGGGATTACAGGCATGCGCCACCACGCCCTGCCTTTTGTTATTGTTTTTGTTTTGTTTTTCTTTTGTCTTCAGTGAACCTTTGAACGTGAAGGCTTTCATGTTTCTTTAGACATTGGAAGTGTCCTTTTGCTGTTCCTTTGGTAATGTCTTTTTCTTTGCTAGACTCAGGAATTGGACTTAGGTTTTATTTATGATTTATCTTTGTGGTCCTGGGGATCCACCCTGGCTTTGGAAAGTTCTGTGAGCGCTCCCCTGCTAAACTGTACCACCAGCCCAGGAGTGTGAGTGTTACTGAGGATAAGGGAAGGAGATGCACTGTTAGAAATCCCCAAACCACAGACAGCCACCCCTGGAGAGCCCTGTGGTGGCTCCGGAGAAGCTGATCAGAGAACATCGGGACTCCAGGACTCCGGTCAGGCAGGAAGGAGTGGAAAGTAGGTGAATAAGTTTATTTTCCTTCATGTTCTGAATGCTAATGGCTCCCCACCCAGGAGATTAGAAATTGTACTCTCTCTGGAGCAACTGAAACATCCTCTAGAAAGAGCTACAGAGCCTAACTGTTGGGAGTATCCAGTTAAAAAATCTGGCCTGTCACTTTCTTGCACCCTGCCCACGCACACCGAGCTCCCTAACTGCCTTTAGGACCCCATTCCTAAATATGAATGAACAACTAAGGAAGAGAAAAGTACCTAACAGAAATATAAAGATGAAAACATTTTGCATTTGTCAAACAAATGCAAGATGCCATAAAAGAGGAAAATTAAGAGAACAAAATTAAGAGAACATGGGCTGGGGATTTAGCTCAGCAGCACAGCACCTGCCTGGCAAGAGCAAGGTTGTGAGTTTGATTCCCAGTACGGGGGGGGGAAAAAAAAAGAGAACAAAAAAATTCTTTGATATTAATTTTTTTATTTTAAAGAGAATACAAAAACAATAACAACAACATAGACAAAAACAAAAGAAAGCAAAAATAATAAAAATGATACAAGGTTTCAAAACAATGATAGGAATTCACAGTGGTTGTTATATTACCTATTGTTATCTTCACCGAAATTGCTCAGATTACCAGATGGAAGAATGCAAGATTGATCGCACCATTATTTGATACCAAAAAAAAAAAAGAAAACCATTAGTAAAAAGATTAAAGATAATGAGATGGCTACTACAAGAGAAGGATGAAGAGTCAGTGTAAGAAGAATTAGAGAAAAGTAGACCAAGAAAATGAAAGGGAGGACATTATTTAAGAAATGAGATAAGTTTTCCACATTGCAAGATAAATCTCCAAATTCGAAGGACACATGGAGATTTCAGCAAATGGCATTTGAAGATCTAATTCAAAGCTCATCCTCAAGCCTTTCAGAGAAAGGTAGCAAAGCTATTAAGTAAGAACTAATGGATTTATAATATCTCTAAAAGCAAAATTAGAAGCAAGCCATGGAGGCTTCCAAACTTTAAGTGAAAATTATTTTAAGCCTATAGTTCTCTACCCAGCCAAACTATCGAAAATGCACATGTAGAATGAAGATATTTTCAGAAGCTTGCAAAGTGTCAGAAAAATTTCTTTCTTAGGAAGCTACTAAAATATGTTTTTACCAAAATGAAATGAACCATGAGAGATGAAGATATGGAATTCTAGGAAACAGGGGCTTCAACAAAAGGTGGAGGTGAGGGGACCCCTGAGATGGTGTGGAAATCCCAGGGACCACCGTGAAGGACAGGCTCAGAGAGGAAGGTCCCGGGGAGAAAATGAAGTAAGTTACTTGGTAGACTTCTCTTTGATAGAAGAGTGATGAGAGAATTACAGAACCCTTAGATTGTGTATCAAGACTTGGGTATGTGTTAAAAAGGAATCCAAATAAATGAAAATTTGCAGCCAGAAAAATACATCGTACAGGAAAAGAACCATAGTAAGTGCATAATATTTTTACAACCTAGTAATGAAAAACACAGTATAGATTTAATCTTTTAAACTTTAATCCTACAATTGATGGGAGGATGGGGAAGAGAAAGGGAAGGAAAGACTTTAAAACCTATGCTACCAAGATATTGTTGGTGTTTTAAATAGGTAAATCAAGACATAGGGCGTTGGTACTGATTTTCATTTTCTTTTTCTCAGTACGGGGAATTGAATCGAGAGCCTTGGGCATGCTGGGCTCTAACCCTGAGCTGCGTTCCCCATGCCAAGTTTCAGATGCTTTTTCCTCTCCTGCGTTAGGCCTCCTAGGGTGCCAGGTTACAGGTGTGCACCCCGTGCTTGGCTGGCATATGACTGAGAAATGCAGAAACCAAGGCAGAGCAAGCAGGTGAATGCACTTCAAGGGGCCACCTGTGGCAGCTTCCACGCGTGATATCGGTGAAGGCACAGACGGAACTAGCCAGTCAGGAAGGTGCGAGTAGAGAAGCACCACAGGGTGCAGGAGCGGGGAGACCCTGTCCTAACGGGCGCAGCCGACAAGGTGAGGGTGGTGTAGGTCAGGAGATGGCGTCCGAGTACACAGGTGCTTGTGAAGTGACCGTCAGGGTCGCTTCTGGAAGGTGAGAGGCAGCACCCCTGCAGTCTGGGGTGGGGCTGCTGCTTGGTTAAACAGAGAGCACAGCAGCGGGAGGAAGAGCGCAGCATCCCTCAGGTGGAGGGTGGGGTGGGGGAGCCATGGGAAGGAAATTGGCCCCTCTGCCCTGGCCAGGGACGCCGCACCTGCTCTTCATGTTGTGCCCCGGGCCCCGGGAAGAACCAGATGTTTTGTTTGTTTGCTGTCACACTTGGGTCTGGGCTTAGGTTAGGGTTTCATTGGAGACCTGGCCATCTGGACAGGGCCAGCTTGGGGAAAAGCAGAGTGGTTTGTCCCACAGTGGCCCTGCGGAACTGCCCGGGCAACACAGTGGGCCACGGTGTGCAGCGGCCATGCTACCCCAGCCCCTGGCCCATGTGGCCACAGGGATGGAATCTAACATGGCAGCATCTGGGGCCGGTGGGGCTGGCCTTAGCTGTCCTCACAGCGACACTTGGGCCGGTCTCACTACTTCTGGGTTTCCACCAGCGTCAGACAAGACCCTGAGGGACTGGGTTTGTAGGTTTTCATTCTGTTTCGATTTATTTGCTTGCTTGTTTGTTTTTTTTTGGAGACAGGGTTTCCCTATGTAGCTCAAGCTGTCCTTGAACTCAAAATGTAGCCCAGGCTGCCCTTGAACTTGAGGCAGTCCTCCTGCCTCAGCCTCCCAAGTGCTGGACTTACAGGTCTTTTCAATTTAAATGGCTCTTAAGTGATTGGTGCCTGCCTGGACATTGGGAGGCTGGCCAGAAGGCCTCCCCGACTTTCTGTGGGGGTTCATGTCTCTGGGCAGGTGCTGTGGAACATGGGCTCAGGGATGCAGCCCTCCACCTTTGCCCAGCCTGGCCTCCCCCAAGCAAAATGCCACATTCTCCCAGTGGAGCGAAGGCCCTGGGGCAAGTTCCTGAGTCCTGGCACCTCTCTGTGCAGAGCATGAAAGGCTTCGAGGAGGGCGTGGAGTTCCTGCCTGTGAACAATGCCAAGCAGGTGGAGAAGCGAGGCCCCCGGCGCTGCGTGGTGCTGGCAGCCCTGCTGCTCAGCTTCCTCTTGCTCTCGCTCGCGGCGGGCCTGCTGGTGTGGCACTTCCAGTGTGAGTACAGCGGGTGACCCGGGCCCCTGCGGTGGACAGGGTGGCATGGCAGGAGGGCCCGTCTCCAGAGCTGACCCCCAACCACTTTCCTGTCGCACAGACCGCAACGTGCAGGTGCAGAAGGTCTTCAATGGCTACCTGAGGATCACAAATGAGAACTTCCTGGAAGCCTATGAGAACTCGAGCTCCGAGGAGTTTATAAACCTGGCCAAGAAGGTGAAGGAGGCGGTGAGTTCACTCCTGGGGCCCTGTCACGCCAGTCCCATCAAGCCTGGGGGGTGAGGAAGGAGGGGCCGTGGTCCAGGGAAGGGAGGTGCAGTCTGGGCTTGGGAAGGGGCCATTGCCACGCTTGCCCTGTCACGATTCTTGTCCCCAATGTGCAGCTGAAGTTGTTATACCTCGAGGTCCCGGTCCTGGGCCCCTACCACAGGAAGTCGGCCGTGACTGCCTTTAGGTGGGTGCCGGGGACAGGAGGAGTGGTGCCTGGCCTGTTGGGAATGAGATCTGTGTGATGTGTATGGGCCCAATGCCTGGGGACCCTGGGGCAGTGAGGCTGCAGGGCACGTCCTGCTCCGTCCTTCGTGCAGGTGACTTGGCACACTTGGTTCTTCTGTCGCGAGGCAGCATGGTTAGGACGAGCTGCACTAGTGCCTGTGGAATGCTTTGCGTGGCGCCTTCCCCGTGTGTTGCATTCAGCAAGTAAAGTGATTATTTTTCCAAATCTGGGTTTGAGGAAGTTGGGATACCTAGGAGGGCTTCGTGCAAACATACTCTTTAAAAAAATAAACTTTGTTCTCAAAGTACCTTTTTTAGTGGTGCTGAGGATTGAACCCATGGCCTCGCACATGCTAGACAAGTGCTCTGCCATTGTGCTACATGCCTAGTTCTTTTCTCTTTTTTTGAGATATCTCATTGTATTGCCCAGGCTGGCCTCAAACTCGTGGCAATCCTCATGCTTTAGTCTCCCAAGTGTGGGGGTCACACCCAGCTTTTTGTGGAAGGGGGTTGGGTACTGCCACTCATCCAGCCTGACCTTGAATTCCTGGACACAAGTGATCCTCCTGCCTCAGCCTCCTAAATCACTGAGACTACAGGCACATGCCACCATGGCTGGTCTCCCAAGTACCTTTCCTTTTGGTTCAGTCAAATCCTTGGGAATGCTGGGTGGCAGGTAGCAATCTCATCTCCCTAATCAGAAAACAGTCCCAGGAAGGGTGGTATTGGGTACCCACATTAGTGGTCAGACTCCCTCCAGGCTCTTGTCCCTGGATTGCTCATCTTGAACTGCCCCCCAGAATGTGTGTGGTTAGGGGTAAGAGCTGTTCTTTGGGGGATCGCAGGGACCCTGGGGCACAGGTGGCCTGGGAGAATGGGGGTCCTCAGACCCACACACCTTGCCTCAGGCTTGCCCCTGTCTCCCCAGCGAGGGCAGCGTCATTGCCTACTACTGGTCAGAATTCAGCATCCCCACAAACCTGGAGGTGGAGGTGGAGCGGGCCATGGCGGAGAAGCGAGTGATCACGCTGCCGCCCCGAGGCCGGGCACTCAGCTCCTTTGTGGTGACCTCAGTGGTGGCGTTCCGTGAGTTGGGCGGGCAGGGGCGGGCACACGAAGACCAGCCTGCAGGGAGGGACCTAGGGCGCCAGCGCTCCTGGCCGGTGCCTGGAGAAGATGCTGGGCTGGCCAGTCACCTCCTGAGGCTGCTAAGGAAGTGGGAATATGGCCACTGATCGTAACAGGGAATATTCTCCTTCTCATTCTTCAGCCACTGACCCCAGAATATTGCAGAGGACCCAGGACAGTAAGTATCCTGCCCCCCCACTCCCAGGTGGAAGAAAGGAGGGACATGGCCAGGTGTCCATTCAGCCAGGGGGTCCCCAAGAGTCTGATGGTGGTGATGGCAGCACATCCCTTCTTCCAGTCTCCTCTGAGAAGCTGCCTGCTCACCTCCCCTGGGTCTGGCAAAGCCTGGGGTGTCTGGGGGTGGCCAGGTCTGGGGTGTACCTGGCTCCCCCAGCTCTGCCAGCCCCAGCCCCACACATGCCACTCTTGTCTCTTGTGCAGACAGCTGCAGTTTCGCCCTGCACGCCCGGGGCAAGGAAGTGACGCGCTTCACCACCCCCGGCTTCCCTGACAGCCCCTACCCGGCTCGCGCCCGCTGCCACTGGACCCTGCGGGGCGATGCGAACTCGGTGCTGAGCCTCACCTTCCGCAGCTTTGACCTCGCCCCCTGTGATGAGCAGGATAGCGACCTGGTCACGGTGTACAATAGCCTGAGCCCTGTGGAGCCCCATACCATGGTTCGGTGAGTGGCTTGGAGCAGTTGTGGGTGGGGCAGCTGCCCCTCCAGGGTCGGGCCCAGGACCAAGTGTGCCGTAGGCTGAGGTGCAGTTCACGGCTTTGGGCCACAGCTGTGGTGAAAGTGCTGGGTGGCGGGGACAGGTGTGGGTCTGGTGTGTCTCACAGGTGATGCCTCGGCTTCTCTGGCCCAGGGATGCCAAGTCCAGCTGATCTGAATGCACTTCTGTAACCTCTGGCTCCTGCATAAATGTGGGCTTTGTTATTAATCAGGTAGAGTAAGGCCCACACATCTGGAGGCGATTGCCACTGAACAGACAGCTGTCTGTCGCGAGGCGTAGTGGCACATACCTATAACGCCAGCCATTATAGGTGCTCATTAAAAGTGCTCCCAAGTGAAGAGGTGCTGCAGGGCACAACACGCAGGGCCCGAGGGGGGATGCGGAGAGCACGAGGGGCTGTGGGAGAGAAGCTTCATTGTGGTTTACATGGGAGAGGAAGACAGCGCAGACAGAGCTGGCGGGGCTCGGCAGGTCTGGAGCATCGTGGTGGGCTTGGCACCTGGGCGGTCTCTAGTGTCTGGTACCCGCCCAGGGTGGTCAGGCTCCATGAGGCAGAGGACAGGCGCAGGCTCTGGTTGGAGCAGCAGGTGTAGGACAGGTGCGCCTGCTGGTGAGTCCTGCACCATTTCTAGGAGTTGCAGGCCAGGGAGGCAGCCTCTCCAGGGTCACCGAGGCCAGAGTCAGAGCATCAGAGTTACAGAAAGTAAAAAGCCGAGTCGGTGCACCTGCCGCAGGCTGGCACCAGGAAGAGCAGCCCAGCTGGGACTTCCCGCTGGACGGAGCCTTCTGGTGCTCCACGGAGCTGGGCAGGGGTTTGATTCAGTCCCAGACCAAGACCAGACCATCTTTTTTCACAACTTAGCAGCCAGGACCTCTGACTGGCTGTCTTCTGCATCTCTAATTTACTGTCACACAACAAAGAAGTATGCAACCTTCAAAGGAAAGAAGTAGCAACCAAGACACGGAGGGAAAGTCACCCATTACCTTACCACCTAGGAATAACCACCGGTGTGTGCGTGTGTGTGTGTGTGTGTGCGCACGTATGTGTGTGTATGTTCCTGCAGACTGAACCCAGGACCCTCATACCAGCCTTTTTAAAAATTTTTGAAACAGGATCTCACTAAGTCACAATATTGTTCTGGCTGAGTTTGAACTGTTGACCCTCCTGCCTCAGCCTCATGGAGTGCTGGCATGTACCACCACATCCAACAACCACTGTTACATTTTTGATGTGTATTCTTCAGACTTTTTGTGCTGTGTACTTATGTGTGTCTTTAGAAACAGGATTGTATGTACCTGGCTTTTCCAAGTCAATCAACCTTGTTTGCAATGGTCATAATGGTTGTAACACTGCGTTGTTTAGTGGCAGACGACTCAGTCATTAGGTCTAGAGCTTGAACCCCTGACTCTGATTTGAGTCCTGCTACTGATTAATTGTGGAATCGTGGGCAAGTTGCTGAACTTCTCTTTGCCTCCATACCCTTTCTGTGGAGTGGGGACAATGGGATTTACTTTGTAGCATTGACACAAAGATTATGAGTTAATAGATATAAAATCGCTAAGAGGCTGTGGGTTAGCTTACTGATACAGTCCAGTGATTGAGGCCCTGATTTGACCCACAAAAAAGAAAACAAAACCCAACAAAACAAAAGAAAAAAAATCACCAAGAATGATGCCTACCGCGCTCTAAAGCGTTAGTTGTCACTGCGGTTCACACTGTTGTTCAACCCGCAGGCCTTTGTCCCAAGGCTTTGCTGCTTCACACATGCGCCTGGGCCCCAGGCCGGGTTCCCATCCTTGATTGTTGCCGGGGCGGGCTGGGCCGGTGAGTGGGGGTGTGCGGTCTGTCTTGCTGACTCCTGTCCCTCTGCCCTGCAGGCTGTGTGGCACCTACCCTCCCTCCTACAACCTGACCTTCCTCTCCTCCCAGAACGTCCTGCTCATCACGCTGATCACCAACACGGAGCGGCGCCATCCCGGCTTCGACGCCTCCTTCTCCCAGCTGCCCAAGATGAGCAGTAAGGAGGGGCAGGGCGGGGCAAGCAGTGCTCACAGCTGCTAAGGGGGAATGGGCCTTAGAGGGGGCCAGAGCTGGGAGGCCGTAGCTCACCCTGCAGCCGACCAGCTGGCCCTGATCAGCCACGGAGGCTTGAAGCGTGAGCCGCAGTGTGTCCCCGACCTCTGAGCTTCCCTCTCCTGCCTTCCCTCGCAGGCTGTGGGGGCTCCCTGCGTGATGTCCATGGGACGTTCAGCACCCCCTACTACCCCGGTCACTACCCGCCCAACATCAACTGCACGTGGGACATCCAGGTAGGGGTGTGCGGGAGGGAGAGGGGCTCCGGCAGATGAGGCGGGCGGGGAGAGGACGATGCGCTCCTGTGTCAGCCCCAAGTGGGCACCTGTGAGCTTCCACGGCAGCATCGCAGGCCCAGACCCAGGTCCCTGCTCCCCGATCCTCCCGACTGGTGACGGAGGCCATCACTGAACCCCGCCCCAGCCTCTCCTGGGTGCAGCGAGGTGAGGGCACCTGTGTGGGGGTGCTGTCAGGATGACGTCAGGACAGTGTGCGGCCCGAGGACAGCACTTGTGAGAGGGGAGCGCGACCATGCCTGCCGGTGCCGTCGGCGCCCACGGTGCCATCCTGGCGATCTCTCTTCTCTTCCAAACCAGTTAGCCATGGTGAACCACAGTCCAAAAATAGTAAATGGGAAATTCCAGAAATGAACTGTTCACAAGCGTTAATCTGTGCATCGTTCTGAGCAGTGTGACATCCCGCGTGGTCCTGCTCCACTCTGCCTGGGACGGGATCATCCCTTGTCCCGTGCAGCCACCCCACGGCTCTGCAGGGAGCTTTTGCTCTTCTTAGCAGTGGCCCCAAGCCAAGGGTTCCGATGCTGGCTCTTAGGACTGGCCAAAGCGTAGCCTAAGCGCTTCCTTAGGTAAACAGGGAGCAGTTTTGGGGAAGACAGTTTGTCCAGGTGTGCTGTTTCTCGTTTGTTAGTATGTGTTGGTGATACATAACAGTATGTGTTGGTGATACATAATGCCATCCCTGGCATTACCACCTCAGCGCACCTCAGATCATCAGGGGTTAGGTTCTCATGAGGAGCCCACAGCTTGGATTCCTCAAGGGATCTGAGCTGCTCCCAGAACTTAAGCCCGTGTTGATCCGACAGAGGCAGCTCTCGGGTGGGAAGTAGTTGTAAATACGAGAAGCTCCTCTCGCTTGCCTGACACTCACTTCCTGCTGTGCCACCTGATTCCCAGCAGGCCACCAACATTTAGTACTGGTGCATGGCCCAGGGCTGAGAACACCTGAATTAAAAAATAAGTACCCTCCTCCCTGCTCACTGTTAGAGCCAGGCATGGTGGTGCAGGCTGTAATCGCAGCACTCAGGAGGCTGAGGCAGGAGGATCGTAGTGAGTTTGAGGACAGCCTGGGCTACATAGTGAGACCCTCTCTAAAAAAAAAGAAAGAAAAAAGAAAAGAAGAAAAACAAACCTTTATCATAGGTACATCTGAGTAGGGAAAAAAACCCCATACACAGGGTTCAGTGCTAGAGTCATCAGCCTTCTTGGGACACACCCATAGTGTGAGGGGGCTGCTGCAGTCTGTTCTGCTCCACGCCGCCCCTCCCTCTCTATCCAGGTGCCCAACAACCAGAACGTGAAGTTGCGCTTCAAATACTTCTACCTGCTGGAGCCCCATGTGGTGCTGGGCACCTGCTCCAAGGACTATGTGGAGATCAACGGGGAGAAGTGAGCCCTGGGGTGGGGCCACCACCGTGTGCTGGAGGTGGGAGGACCGGGTCCCTGCACCCCAGGCCGAGGCTCCGAGCAGCAGCTCCCTCACCCTTGTGCTGTCCTCCAGGTACTGTGGAGAGAGGCCCCAGTTTGTCGTTATCAGCAAGAGCAGCAGGATCACAGTGCACTTCCACTCGGATCACTCCTACACCGACACAGGGTTCCTCGCTGAATACCTCTCCTATGACTCCAAGGACCGTGAGTGCCCACTGCTGGAGGGGTGACAGGCGCCGGCCCCACATGCACCTGAACCTCTGTTCTGTGTCTTATCAGCACTGTACTTTCTAGATTCTCAGGTATGGGAGAGACAGATGTGTGTTACTTTAGTGGCTTTTTGAGGAAAAAAGTTCTTGAGTTTATCTTGAATTTATTCAAAAAAAGCTGACATCGCCAGGTGTGGTGGTACATGCTTGTAATTCCAACTGTTGGGAGCCTGAAGCAGAAGTTTAAAGCCAGCCTGGACGACAGAGCGAGATCCTGTCTCGAAAAAACAAAAACAAACAAACAAAAAAGCTGACAGTATCTGGGCTTGGTAGCAAGTGTCTTAGTCCCAGCACTCCGGGAGGCTGAGGCAGGAGTATTACATGCTTGATCCCAGCCGTGGCAGTTTAGCAAGACTCAAAATAAAAAAATTTAAAAAGGGCTGAGGTGTGAAGACCTTGGTTTTAACCCTCAGTACTACAAAAATAAAATCAAGGAAAAAGGCCGGCAGCAAGTGCTGGTACACTCTTTCACCCTGAGTGCAGGGGTGCATCCCAGGGGGCCTGGGGCTGAGGACTGTCCTGCCCTGAGTTCCTGCGGCCATCTGTCCCTCCGGTTCAGCATCACTGTGACATTCATATCCGTCCTTGACCTTGTGGCTTTTTAGCACTTTGAGTTTTAGCAATATGGGCTTGGAACATTCCGTAGTACTGCTGGCTGTGTGTGCTTTGAAGATTCTTTATCTGAAGGGCCTGGGACCAGAGGTGTTGCAGATTTCAGCTGTCTCTGGATTTTGGAGTATCTGTGTACACACAGTGAGCTGTCTTGGGGGACCCACATCTAAACATGGAGTTCATTTCCGTTCCTGGTGTGCCTTGCGTACGTGGCCTGAGGCAGTGCTGTGTGCTGTTTCGAGTGCCCCTGTGTGAGGGTAATTCATCCCCTCGGGTCGGTGGGACTTTGCACTGTGGCATCGTATCGGTGTTCAGACATTGCAGATTTTGGAGCATTCTGGAGTTTGGATTTTTGGAAGAAAGATGGTGAGCTTGTAATGTTTAAAATTTCAACCCTGCATCATGCATCACAGAATGACCTTTTGGAGGACATTTTAACTCTGCTTAGGAATCCACATTTAAAGTTAAAATTTGACTGCATGGCTGACCAAAAGTGTAACTGGAGGAGCGTTTGTGACTAAGGTGCCCGTGTGACAGTGGCCCCGGCCTGCCGCCTGCATTTGGCGGACGCCTTCCAGCTTTAGAAACACTGAGATGTGGAAGTCATCTTGGCCTGAAGGAAGTCTGTGGTGCCGTTTTACGCTTGGCTAGGACGCGTGAATCTCAGACGTGCCCAGTTGCCACCCAAGTCAGAGTCAGGGTGCCTGGCACCCAGAGGCGAGGACACCGGCAGAGGGGGCTCTGACGCAGCCCTTTCCACGGGGGCTGGAGCTGGGGTGCAGGCGTCGCTGGCTGGGAGGCTGGTGTGGGAGCTGCTCCACCTGGACAGGGTGGTGGGAGGCTGGGAGGGGTGGAGCCCTGAGCCCGGCCGCCTGTCCCGCAGCCTGCCCGGGGATGTTCACGTGCGGCACGGGCCGGTGCATCCGGAGGGACCTGCGCTGCGACGGCTGGGCAGACTGCACGGACCACAGCGATGAGCGCAACTGCAGTGAGTTCCTCACCCTCCGCCTGTCCAGGGACGCCTGGTGCCCAGGCCCCTTCCCCTCCCTCTGCCTCGGGAATCTTGGCTCCTCTGGAGGCCCCAGGGTCTTTCTGATGCCTGTGTGGGAAAAGTCCCCAGTGAGGCTGCCACCGAGGGGCTGGGGTTCCAGCCTGGCCTGGGGTTGAGTCCTGCCCTTCCCCCACCGTCCCCAGGCTGCAACCCCGCCCACCAGTTCACATGCAAGAACAAGTTGTGCAAACCCCTGTTCTGGGTCTGTGACGGTGTGAACGACTGCGGGGACAACAGTGATGAGCTGGCATGCAGTGAGTGGGACGGGGTGGGGCGGGGTGGGTGGGATGGAGGCCCTGCAGTGCTGCCTGGCCCGGCACCGCACGGCCAGCCTGGGTTAAGGACCTGCGCCTCCCCAGAGTGTCCTGAGGGGACCTTCAAGTGCACCAGTGGGAAGTGCCTCCCGAAGAACCAGAAGTGCAACGGGAAGGACGACTGTGGCGACGGCTCCGATGAGGCCTCGTGTGACACTGGTGAGGCCCGGCCCTGCCCGCCTCCCCATGGGCGCAGTGACACACCTGCGCGGGCACGCGCACTCGCAGCATACCCAAAGCGTGATGATCACGCCTGCGAGGTGCAGTGAGAAAAAGCGGCTGCGGGGAAGAAGCTCCGGAAGGTGGGAGCCTGTCGCAGAGCTGGGGGGCAGCGGCCTGGGGGAAGGGTGAGGGGTGGGAGGCTCACAGTGGCGTCTGGTGCTGCCTCCGGCTTCCGGGCTCACGCTGCTGAGCAGGTGATGCCTTCCTCCCACCCTCCTCCCTGAGCAGTGAGTGTTGTCACTTGCACCAGCCACACCTTTCACTGCCACAACGGGCTGTGTGTGAACAAGGGCAACCCCGAGTGTGATGGCAAGAAAGACTGCGAGGATGGCTCAGATGAGAAGAACTGTGGTAAGTGTGGGTTAGGCCGGAGGTTCATTGGGCAGGGAACTCACCTGAGGGTGCATCCCCAGTAGAAATCTGACGCCTCAGTCACGTGGCTTTGTACTGGGGAGGGAGGGTCCGTCTGCTTGCAAGGATGCCTGCAAGTGAGCAAAGGATGACTTTGCTAACTGGGCAAAGATCGCTTCATAGGCCAGCTCTGTCCTGGAGAGAGGATGTGCAGGTCATCTCGTCACTGTGACACAGTGCCCAACGCCCACAGCTTCAAGGAGGAGAGGTTTACCTGGACTCAAGGTCCATGGCCTGCCGGCCGGCTCCAAACCAAAAAATGGCACAGGAGAGGGGCATAGTGGAGTAAAACCTGTGCAGGTTATGGAACCCAGAAGGAGAGAGGAGGGAGGAGCTGGGGAAGGAGACAAACAAACCCTTCCAGGTCACACCCCAGCGGCCACCTCTTAGGGCCAGACCCTACCTCCCAGCAGCAAATCAGCTGTGAGCTCCCGGGATCCCGTCCCCTTCCAAAAGCCCAGCCTTGGAGTGCATGAAGCCTTTGCAGGGCATCCTGATCTAAACCATAGCAAAGACCCAGGCAGCCAGCACCTCAGACTCAGCTGACTGCTGGTGCATTGGGTGTGGTGCTGGCCTGGCCCTTTTTGTAGACTCGGCCTCGGGTGCATGGCCTGTGGAGAGAAGGGAAGCCCCACCTGCCAGGCACACAACACCCACCACAGTTTAACCTGCACACAACCTGCGTGCATCTGAGAAGGGCTGCCCCGGGTTAAATGTGGGCATAGCTGCAGCTGGTCCATGTCCTCATAGCACTGCCCGCGTTTCCTTCTGGGTGCTGTGCCCCTCGTCCGTCATTCAAGTGGGAGGTCTAGGCAGGTACAGCCACCTCAAGTCTGAGCAAAGCAGGCTCAGCTGGCAGATACTGTGCAGAAACTTTGAACTTGGGGCCCGTGGAGAGGGTGGTGAGGTGGAAGTCAGGTGGGAATGCTTCCGGAGGGCCCCTGTGCCACCCCTGCTCCAGCACGCTTGTATCCGACATCAGCACCTGTGCGGGGTCCCACGTGCTGGGAGCATCTCCTTGGCACTGAGCAGCGCCTTGACTTGCCCCCCTTGGGTTCTCTGTCTCCTCTCCAGACTGTGGGCTGCGGTCGTTCACCAAACGAGCTCGGGTGGTCGGGGGCACGGACTCGGAGAGCGGTGAGTGGCCCTGGCAGGTGAGCCTGCATGCCCTGGGCCAGGGCCACGTCTGCGGGGCCTCGCTCATCTCTCCCAACTGGCTGGTCTCGGCGGCACACTGCTTTGTGGATGAAAACAGTTTCAAGTAGGTGTCGGGGGTTCCGCCAGGGTGGGCTGGCACCTGGGCAGGGCAGTGGAGGGGTGGCCGGTATTCCAGAATGGGGCTTAACAGCAGTACCAATAAAAACTCCCTTTTATGAGGTGCTCGGTGTCTGTGGCACCGTGGGTCCACCTGCTAACGTGCCAGGCAGGTCTGCTTGTGTCCCCACAGTCACAGACTCAGAGGTGAGGGCTTTTGCTCAGGGTTGGTGCAGCTGACTGGCAGGGCCAGACCCATGCCCAGGTGTGACAGTTCCGAAGCCTGCTGGTCCGTCTCTGCCCTGCGTGGCTCCTTGGGTTAGGCTCACGGCGAGCTTTGGGTCTGGGCTCAGCTCTGCCTTGCACAGTGTGGGTGACCTTCGGAAAATTACTTGGACTCCCAGGTGCGGGGCTCCTCCCTGGTGATGTGATTCGTGAACTGAATCCGATAATGACCTCACACCTCTGACCTGCACTGTGCCCTGCACGTAGGCCTGGGAAGAAGGGTCACGCGGGTGTCCAGGACCGCGAGAGCAGGCACCAGGGTCAGAAGCCTGAGAAGCGGCAGGAACAGGGCGTGGGGCTGGGACAGTTTGTGTCTTAGCTCCTGGCCTGCCGGGCTCTCTGGCCACAGGGGAGGGGGCCTTCTCCGAGACGCACCCCCGCAACAGTGTGCCTTCTTGCTGGCTGCAGGCTCTCGTGGGACAGGCAGCTCAGGGGCGGTGACCTTTTGTAGGAGACAGAGGGCAGCTCACAGTTGAAGGAGGCAGGGGCACAGATGCGGGGAGGTCATGTGCGCGTGGTGGGGCGACGGCAGGCACAGAGCCAGCTCGCTTGTCCTCAGGCCTTGGGGAGCCTTTGCCCTGCAGTCTCCTCCAGCCCAAGAGCATTCTCCTTTCTCTCTGGCCGTGCTCAACTCCACGTGGGCAGTAATGATTTTCCTTTCTTTTGGGGGTGATGGGGGCTTCCTTAAGAATTTTTTAAGATACGCTTTAATTTCAGAATCCAGACAAATTGCAAAGGTGGTAGAGAATTTTTCGTATCCCTCACCCAGAGCCCCTCAGTGATAATGTCATAAACTAGCACCGGCCCTTGCTATTGGCTGAACTCCCTGGGAATCATCAGGTCTCACACTAGCGTGGCTGCTGCCCCAGGCCAGGATGCAGGCTGGGGTCATGCACTGCATCTCCCTGCCTATCTCCAGTGCCCTGTGGTCTGGGACTGCTTCTTGGTCTCCGTGACAGCCTGGAGGCCACCTGTGCTGGAGAATGTCCCCCTGCAGGGTTTGTTGGAGGTGTTTCTGGACTGAGGCCAGGGATGTTTGGGAAGACCATCCCATCACGTCAGGTCAGCAAGGACAGATGTCATGTGACTCCCTGCAGTGATGCTGCTCGTGTTCCTTGGGTTAGGGGGTCATGCTGGCTTTTTTCTTTTTTCTTTTCTTTCCTTTTGTTTTGAGACAGGGTCTCTCTCTGCAGTTCAGGCTGGCCTTGAGCTCACTTTGTAGCCTAGGCTGGTCTTGAACTTGCAGTGATCCTCCTGCCTCAGCCTCCCGAGTGCTGGGATTATAGGCGTGCGCCACCATGCCCGGCTCTTTTCTTTTTTCTGTATGCTCATTTTTGGATGTGAGTCAAGTCAGAACTTTTCTGTCAGGGAGGCTGGCCCTTCTCTTTTATTTGTTTAGTCATTTACTTGTGCGTATGGACCTCGTTTGTATGGACCTCGTATTTGGGGTTGCAATCCAACAGCATCGTATTTACTCTGTTGCAAAGTTGCTTTGAGGTTGGCTTCTGTGTCACATGCTCGTTTCTTTTAAAATTTTTTTATTCGAGTCACTTTCTTGCTTTCTAGCACTACCACCAGGCCTTTTAGGCCCCTCTTGTACCTTCTCTGTCCCAGTCTTAGAATCAACTGTTTTTCTAAAACACACTTTAAAAAGAAAAAGTCTTGATAAGCAGTTCAGGCTGGCCTTGAACTCATGGCCATCCTCCTGCCTCAGCCTCCTGAGTACTGGAATTACAGCTGTGTGCCACCATGCCTGGCTCCCCAGGCACACTTTTGTCAGGGGATGGTGTTTGGAAACCAAGGTGTAGACACTCGGTGTGCCCCTGTTGCTGCAGTGTTGCTGTTTCCTGGCCTTTGGGGGGTCTCGCCGGGAGACAGAGATTCAGGACAGACCCTTGTTTACTCCTGCCTCTCTCTGCTTCATTATTTCATTTTTATCTGTTGATCGTCAGTCTTATCTCTGCCAATTAATAGTGCAGTTAGAGCCAGGAGTGTAGCTCAGTGGTAGAGCATTTACCTCACATGCTCAAGGCCCTGGGTTCCATCCTCAACGCTGCAGAGAAAATAAAGTGCAAGTAATGCATTTGCCATGCGTTGTTTCTACTAGCACCGATAAAGCTTGGTTTCTGTACTTTGCAGACTTGCCAGGGTGGGGACGAAGTCTATTACACACACGTGCATATGGGCGCACACACACACACGCTCACACACACAGCGTGTGACGCCAGAACCACTTGCACACGTCCTTGGTCCCAGGATGCAGTGCTTAGAATTCTGCCTGAGGGGTGGGGAAGGCAGTGCTTGGGAGCACCTTGTAGGTCAGGGTGCCCGAGGTCAGCTGGAACAGGTGTCTCAGCCACCCTGCCTGAGGGAGGGGTGTGAAATGTGCCTCGATCCAGAGTGGGTTCCTCGGGCACATTTCAGAGGCCGGTGCTCAGCTATCGTCACACATGGTTAAGAGCACAGGTTGCCTAAATGAAAATTGTGGCCCACGTGTGTAGGCTGTGGGGTCTTGGGCAAAGGAGTTAGTCTCTCTGTACCTAAGGCCTTATCTCAGAATGGGCTGGCCAGCCTGGCAGGGCCCTGTGGCGGATAAAGCGATCCCAGGTATCAGCCCCTGAGGGAGAATGTGTCCTTCCGCCCGCAGTCACCGGCTGCCCGCCCACACCTGCTAGTCACGGTGGGGCTCTCAGTGGCTGCATCTTCCCTCCTGGTCTCTGCTGCTGGGGGCCCCACAGGTGCAAAGAACCAGTGGGGCTGAGCATGTTGGTCAGCCTTCTGTTATCTGGCAAGTCCTTGAGAACGAAGAGAAGAGGGTTGTTTCGGCTCGTGGTCTTCGAGGCTGCAGTCCGCCGTCAGGTGGACCCCTGCTTTCAGGCTGCTGGGGGTGCTGCGGGGAGGAGCAGGGAGCGTGGGATGGAGCGAGGCGGCCACGCTCCGTGCTGATGTGTCCTTGCCCCGCCTCTACGCTCTCTCCCAGGTACTCGGACCCCACCAAGTGGACGGCCTTCCTGGGTCTGCTGGACCAGGGCCAGCGCACGGCCACCGGGGTGCAGGAGCATGAGCTCAAACGCATCATCCCACACCCCTCCTTCAACGACTTCACCTTCGACTATGACATTGCGCTGCTGGAACTGAAGAAGCCGGCGGAATACAGCGCTGTGGTGCGGCCCATCTGCCTGCCCGACACCACTCATGTCTTCCCGGCCGGCAAGGCCATCTGGGTCACAGGCTGGGGGCACACGGAGCAGGGAGGTAAGCTTCACGTTGGACCAGGGAGCCACCTGTGGGAGACATTGGGAAAGCTGTTGTGATGCTCGTTGCTGAAGCTTCTGTAGCAGACAGAGAGGAAATAGCAAAACCTGGCTGCCCAGACCAAACTGTGGTGGCACTGACGCACTTTCAGTCTTCCTGCTGTTTTCCCGCACTCAGTACTTTTTGTTTTGGAGGTACTCAGGACCACATGCACGCTAGGTGAGCACTGTACCTTGGTGCAAGGCAGACAGCTTCCAGCTTTTCAGAGCTGCTGTGCCTTGTGGCTGCTCACAAGGCAGGTGTGCTGCCGACTTAGGCTTGTCAGTCCTGGGCGGTGGGTTGTTTCCAGGATTTTGCTGGTAAACTGATGCCCGTGGGGAACATCTTGAAGGAGCTTTTGCCTGTGTACACCTGCACCCCGAGGACCTGCCTCCCTGAGTCCACCCTGTTCTGCGCCCTCTCCCCAGGCACTGGGGCCCTGATCCTGCAGAAGGGTGAGATCCGGGTCATCAACCAGACGACCTGTGAGGACCTGCTGCCGCAGCAGATCACCCCGCGTATGATGTGCGTGGGTTTCCTCAGCGGGGGCGTGGACGCCTGCCAGGTGTGTGGGCCGAGGCAGGCGGGCCGAGACAGGGGCGGGGCGGGGCGGGGCCGGAGGGGCGGGGCCCTCATGCTTGGGACTTGTCTCCTCTCAGGGCGACTCTGGGGGCCCCCTGTCCAGCGTGGAGGCGGATGGGCGAATCTTCCAGGCAGGCGTAGTGAGCTGGGGCGAAGGCTGTGCGCAGAAGAACAAGCCGGGCGTATACACGAGGCTCCCTGTATTTCGGACCTGGATCAAAGAGCAGACTGGGGTGTAGAGACGGGTCCCCCACATGACTCCAACGTGCACGCCTGTGGGGATACCCAGCTGGCCAGCTACAGTCTGAGGACAGGACCCCTGGCCACATCCCTGCTTTGGGCCCCTCCTCCCCCAGAACCCAGACTGCACACTCGCCTGCAAGCGTCCGAGTCCACCTGGAGAGCCCCAGCCTCCCTCAGCCTACAGGTGCGGCCCAGAGCCGGGGAGGAGGCGCCGAATGCTGGTGCTGCCGGGCCGAAGGCTGGAAGATGCGGCTCCCCGCTCCCGCCCAGCTGGGCGCGGCGCTCTTCCGCGGTGGTGCCCCCCAGCCCCAGGGAAGCTGTTAGGGACCTTCCCCGTGCAAGGGGTGGGGGTGCAGGCTCAGGGCTGTGGGGTCCTAGGTCACCCTGTTCAGGAAATCGCAGCCTGCGATTCTGGACTCTGGAAAACAGAGGAATCTAAAAATGGATCTGTTTCACCAGCTCCCAGGGTGGCTTCCCTGTGTGCGTTTGTGTGTGTGAGTAAAACATTGTATTTCTTTTTAATTACCTTTTTTTCTTCTGAAGTTGAGAGGTTCTCCTTCCTCCTAGCTCCATTTGCAAGAAACCAGTCTTTTCCCCCTCCAATCAGATTTTATTGGTACATTTTAGATATACATAATGATCACATTCATCATACACAATTTGTACCTCTATCTGATATAACTTGTTTTGCAAGAAACTAGTCATAAGTTCCTCTTAGGTGGGCCAGCCCTACTCTGTCCAGTGCCCTCAGCAGGAGGCCTGGAGGAAGTAGGTGGTCATCTATGACTGGCGTCACAGTGTGGTCCTGTGGCAGGAACATCGGGGTCCCCAGGGCATGCACAGGTGTGACTTCTCATGTTGCACTAGGCTCTCGGGTGAGCAGCTCTGGGCAAGAGGGCAGCAGTCTGTGCTCTGAGAGGCCCCAGAGGGTTCCAGTGCATGCTGGAGTTTGAGAAGCAGTTTAATTTCCTGCTGCTCCAAGACTATGGTGTCCAGACCAAAGTCGGCAGCAGTGCCTTTGATCCTACGGTCCTGGGACCCTGCTGGGATTTAGACTCATTTGAACCCTGGAAAATCAATAAAGTGTCTTCCAAAAGACTGCAACCAAGTGTAGAATTACTCCTGACCAGAGAGTAGGACAGGACAGGCATCCATAACCAGAGCTCAAACGCACCACTCTGAGGCTCATTGCTGATAGCTCTCATGAAGACCAAAGTGACTGGCACCAACAGAGCTACAGTCAACGAGGGGGTGGCACCGGGCTGCGGAGAGTGCCACTGTGCAGTCCTGAAGTGACCTACCTTTCCTTTGCTGGGGGAGGTGGGCTGGGGTGCAGTGCAGCATAGGTGCCATCCCCAGCAGACCTTTGTACTTGGTTAATTGCTCCATCATTGCATTTGAAGTCTTCACCTTGAATTGTTTTTATTTTTTCTTTTGTTGGTACCAGAAATCGAACTCATGACCTCAGGCTTGCCAGGCAAGCGCTTATGCTGCTGAGCTATATCCCTGGCCCCACCCTGAATTATTTTGCCCTGGTCCTGAATTGTATAGCTGGCCCTGCAGCCTCATGCACCTGGCCATTCTCTGCAGTGCAAGGAGAGTTGTGAGATGTGCAAAGGGTGGAAGACAGAGGCCCGAGAGGCCGGAAGAGGTGATACTCAGGGAGCAAAGCATGGTGTCCCCGGGGAGGGGAAATGAACTTTGTCCAGCGTCCTAGCTTCTGCCCTTTGCGTGGGAGGAGGAGACCTTAGGAGCCTCTGCTTCATGGCCACACAGGTGTTGGGTCTGTCAGGTGGGGTGGGGGAGCAGCCATGGGTTCCGGGGGGGCTGCGCAGTGCAGTGCTGGTCCCCCCAGCTTAGGGCTCAACCTGGAGTCTTATGCCTGGTTGGGAGCTGGGCGTACCATTTTCTGGTCCTCTCTAACTGCCTTGTATCTCCATTGTTTTAGCCACTAACCAAAACCATTTAGCGTTTAATGAATGTTGAACTCAGAGTGCTGGGCGTTGCATACCCAGACGAACATGCTGCAAGAACCACAGTGAATTGGGATTCAGGAGGGTGGGCCTTTTAGGAGAGAGAAGGTTTCAAATCCTGTACCCCAGGGGCTCCTGAGCCCCACCTGCCACGAGGCTGGCATTCGGGAATCTGGCCACATGGTGGCGGTGTTGAGCTGTTGCAGCAGGCGGCCGCTCCTGGGGGCAAAGGGAGGGTGGGGCAACAGGAGACCCGTTTTGTTTTGCCCGTTGCTTGCAGTGCGTGTGCCTGCGTCAGGGTGAGCGCGCAAGAGGCCTTCAGCGCAAAGCCTTTCCTTGCCCTTTAGCCCTTTTAGTGCGGCTCTCTCCTGTTGGAGGCCAGGACCTCTGACCTTGGCCTTGCTGCCTGGAGGACCCGCACGTTCCCAGGCGGGCTCAAAGGTGGCTCTTAAGGTTGAGGGAAACGGGGCGAGTGCTGTGACTGAGGTGGTATTAGCGCTGTAAGCGACAAGGGTGAAGCTATGTCCTGTTTGACACCCCAGATGGACACCTGGGACACAGGTACATCCGAACACACACACATACACACGCGTGCACACACACGTGAGCATTAGGGCAGTGTGGGGTAGGGTGTGTGTGTGTGTGTGTGTGTGTGCGCGCGCGCGGATGTACCTGTATCCCACGCTGCCCCAATGCCCGTGTGTGTGTGTGTGTGTGTGGTTTGGCCTGGCCTCTGCCCAGACACCCTCTCCCTTCCCCCAGAGGCATCCAAGGTGCCTCTGAGCTGAAAACCGTTGCACTTTTCCGGGCTTGGGGTCGTGGTGTGCACCTGTATGCGTGCATGGTGCTCATTTGCAGTCCTATTTAAGGGAAACTGGATCTTCTGGTCCATGATTCTCAAATGTGAATTTCTTGGGGCTGTGAAATGACAGGAGAATCCAGTGTTTAATGAAGAATGGCATCTCCTAAGGTGTGTTTTTGGTGTTTGTTTTAAATACAGGCTGGCCTCAAACTTAGGATCCTGTGTCAGCCTCCCTAGTGGCTGGGATTATGTAAACCTCACAACAATCCTGTGGTCACTGCCATCTTACAGACAGAAAGCCAGTGCACACTTAGGAATATTGGCTCTAGGATTTTAATGCTGACAGTCTGAGCCATACTCGGGCACTGAGCTAGGGATTTGTATGTACCTCACCACATGCTATGCATTATTCACATACTACCACCATTTCTTAAAGGGCATGCTACCACACACGTCGAAAGCAGTCATGCTTATAGCATAGAAGTCATTTAAGTGCTTCAAGTTGGGGATACTCTTCTGCATTTTTTTCTGTGTACCAGAGACAGTGTTTCCAGGGAGCAGATGTGAGTGGACTGGTGTTTGGCAACTGTTCCTCTAAGCATGAATCCCTTTCCCTTGAGAATCCTGACAGGCCTCACAGACCTGCTGCCCTGAGGTCTTCCTGCCTGGAGGCCCAGTTTGCAGGCTGGGGGTTTGCTCTAGGCTGGTCATGTGCGTGTCTGCCTGCGGCTTCGTCATTCCGGTTGGAGGAAGGTGTTGCTGCTTTTTAGGTCCCTAGGGTCCACTGTGGGAAGAACTTGCATTGGTTTTGATGCCAGCTCAAGTTGTCCAGGAAGGATGGTGGGCTAGGAAGGGAAGGAGGAGAATGCTGGTCAGAAGGAGGCAGGGACAACGGCTGTCACAGGGGGCCACTGCGTGGGTGCCCTCAGGGTGCCCGGGAGGCAGCTGGTAGACCCTGATAGTACTGGGAAAGATGAGGGCAAACCCCAGAGCAGAAAAGTGGCTATTTCTGTCTGGATTTAAGGTGCTAGGGGTGTCTAGAAAACAGTCTGCACTGCTCTTCCCCAAGGTGAGGAGCGCTGCTTTGACAGATGCTGTGGCCCGGCTCCTGGAACAGTGTGTGTGTGTGTGTGTGTGTGTGTGTGTGTGTGTGTGTGTGTCTGCCCTGGCTTTGCTCTGAGCTCGAGGTGCAGAGCAGAGGATAGCCGGAGCCCCGAGGGCGAGCAGGCTGAGCCTGGCACATATGTGGTGGCCCTGCACACTGAGGGTGTCACCAAAAGGCTTGCGTGGTCTGGTGCGCTCACGGCGAGGGTGCGGTGTGACGAAGACACTCACTCGCAGGCTCTCGCCCAGCCCGATGATCCTTTCCCGCCACCCTTCCCTCTCTTCCGAGCCCCTTCTCCGCGTGCCTGCAGCGGGGAGGCTGTCTTTTCCTCTGTCCTTTCCTAAAAAGCCAGTTTCCAGGCATAGCTCCGTTCCATTGTCTCAGCACCTTCCGGCAGGAGGCGTGTGTGTATTTTCCTGGGCTACGAACCCAACTTTCCTCTGCTCGCTGCGCCGTGCCTGCACCTTGGAGCTTATCGCTGTTTCCCTGCCCACACCCTGGAATCAGAGCCGCTCGTCTCCCTGCCAGGCCTCTCTGGAACCTCATATGGTCTTGTTTAACTCTACTGGGAAATTCTTCCATTCTCGGCCGATCTCTTTCCACAAGGCTCTGGAACACGGTGTGTGGGTTGGGGGTGGTGGAGCGGCCCATGGGGGGGTGGTGCGTTTGGAGGACCGTTCCCAAGGTCACAGGGCATCGACTCCTCTTCGAGGTCACAGTTCTAGCACTATGTGCACAGCTAAGGAAGGCAGTACAGGAAAAATGTCCAGATGTAGTCTAAGGGAGAAAACAGATCAATGTTAAAAGCATGTGGCTCTTGCAAAATAAATAAATAAAAGTTATTCGTATAAATGAGTGGAAAGGGGGAAAAAGCCATTCTTTAATTCACCAACCCGTCGTCATGTATGATTGGGACCCAGGAGGGTCCTGGATGCGGCACATGGCTGCACAGGGCTCGGCAGGACCCCAGGCGAGCAGTCAGCCACGAGGCGCGGTGCTGGGCACACCCAGAGCCGGAGGGAGCCGGGCCCAGCATGCAGATCCTGGTGTGCGCCAGTGTCTGCCTGAGGGTCCTGACTCCGAGGAAAGGTGGCCCTGCCCGGGCTTTGCAGGTGTGTCACGGACTCCTGCTGGCTGTGAACGCGTTTCCTGGGTTAGCAGCTGCCTGAGCACTGTTCTTTTAGAACAAGGAAAACATCAGTATGCCTACTCCAAGGGAAAGAGCCTCATGGCTGCCCAGGCAGCCTCCAGGCAGGACTCTAATCCCCTAACGTTGTCGGGGTGCAGCTCAGCTTGCTGGGACCGCTGGAGGGGATGGACTTGCTGTGCCTCCACCTCGCCTGAACCCCTGCCCTTGCCACAGGGGACTGGACCCTGTGTCTCCCAGCTGGGTGCTGGGGCTCTGTAGGATCTGGATATGGTCACTCAATAGTGGGAGACGAGCAGCAGTGACGACCAGCAGAGTCACCAGTACTTGATTCTCCTCCACCTCACCTTCATGAAGGTGGTCATTCTCACGGAAGAGGAGACAGGTCCCCAGGAAGCAGGTGGGGAGGAGGCACCCCGGCTCCGCTGCAACAGTCTGTGCGCCCTCTGGAGCCAAGGCCTTCTTCCCGGGGGCTCTGAGGTGCGGGATCCAGGACTTTCTTGCCAGGTAATAAATTCATTGGCTGAGGCACACACGGAAAGGTCAAAAGGAACGTTCGTCGCTGGGCTCTGAAATGGCTCCTTCAGCATTTTCAGATCTTTCCTGTTCCACTTCCTTGGCTACCCCAGCAGGCCCTGGGCATTTCCCTTTCTCTCGGCCAGGCCATCTGCTTTCTCTTACTCCTCTGCCTTGGGGCAGTGTGGACCAGAGGGAGAAATGTTTCCTTGAGGTCTTGGCCCTGGGCAGCAGAACACGGTGTTCTGTCCTGATTCAGAGGACCCAGCCCCTGCCTGCTACCTCCCTCCCCTGAGCGCTTTGTTTCTGCCCGGTGTTGTGCGGCTTTGCGGCAAAGCTTAGCGAGAGGAGAGGCCGGAAGTGACGGGGTACCTTGGCCTGCTGCCTCGCATGAAAAAGGAAATTCTGTGGGATGTCGGGTGGGTGGGGCACCGCTGAGCCCAGACTTCCCTGTCTCTGAGACCCACAAGTTGAATCTGTGTTTGGGGACGGAAATATTTCTGCACCAGGTGTGACAAGGACTTTCTTGGACCTGAGGAAATGGAGCAAAAACCAAACTGA